TGAGTGGAACTCGTCATTGTACATCAACTCCATTGATTATGAAAAGGCATTTGACAGTGTAGATGGGAGGAGTGTAGATGGAAACCCTCAACACTACGGAGTTCCTGAGAAGGTTATCAATATTATCCGGAACTCATACGACGGACTACAGTGCAAGGTCGTGCATGGAGGACAGCTGACAGATGCATTCCAAGTAAGGACAGGAGTCAGGCAAGGCTGTCTACTCTCTCCCTTCCTCTTTCTTCTGGTGGTCAACTGGATTATAATGACCTCGATTTCTGAGGGAAAACACGGCATACAATGGACAGCTCAGAAGACCAAGGTTCTCAAATTCAAAACGGAGAACGGTAATCCAATTACTTTTGATCGCGAAACTCTGGAAGATGTAGAATCCTTCACATACCTGGGAAGCATCATCGATGAACAAGGAGGTTCAGATGCAGACGTAAAGGCGAAGATTAGCAAAGCAAGGACAGCATTCCTACAGTTGAAGAACATGTGGAACTCAAAACAACTTTCAACCAATTTCAAAGTCAGAATCTTCAATACCAACGTAAAGGCAGTTCTACTGTATGGAGCTGAAACTTGGTTAACTACAAAAACCACCATCAAGAAGGTACAAGTATCTATAAATAGCTGTCTTCGCAAGATACTCAACATCCATTGGCCGGATACCATCAGCAACAGCCTTTTATGGGAGAAAACAAACCAGCTTCCGGCTGAAGAGGAAATTAGGTAAAGACAATGGAAATGGATTGGACATACACTACGCAAATTATCAAACTGCATCACGAGGCAAGCCCTAACTTGGGATCCTGAAGGGAAGCGGAAGAGAGGAAGGCCAAAGAACACATTACGTCTTGAAATAGAAGTAGATATGAAAAGGATGAATAACAACTGGAAGGAGCAGGAAAGGATTACCCAGGACAGGGTTGGGTGGCGAATGCTGGTGAGCGGCCTATGCTCCTTCACGAGGAGTAACAGGCGTAAGTAAGTAACCTAATATCTGCTCACAAAATATTTACTTCTTATTGATTTCCTTGCTTTTGTGACGTGTTTGGTAGTGTAGAAGCTGGAAGTGATATACAGTGCAACAAGATTCATCTTTGTTCATTTCTATTTGACAGTGTAGAAAAGAATTAGATCTTTCATGAGGTTAGTCAAATAGACTATGAAATAAAAGTTAAACATCACATCAAAAACTAATTAACATAAATTACAATACACCTAGTATCCAATTACTTTCAAAAAACAATGGGAAATTCGTTATAACTTCTCATTTAAACAAGTCAGTTGCAAGACTGACAATAAGTAAACTAAGGGAATTTGATTTTAGAATGACCTAAGGTTAATGAACAACCAGTGCTTTCTCTCCTTGAAAAAATAGCTCCTTCTCAGCACCTCTGAATAAAAAATTGCTGATATCAGTCACTAACAGACCTAGCGTAACATACGAGAACACCATACACATATGCAATTAATTCTTGAGATAAAATTTATGACAGCTTAAGAACAACTAGAATGTTGCTCTTTGAATACTCTTACGGAAGTATTACACAAAAATGAGTAGCTCCAAGGATTCAGAAATCGAGTTTTCTAGATAAACTGTCATTTGGTTAACTTCAAATTAAATACTAAGTAAGAAATGGCTCGTTTAACAACCATACGTCGCAAGTGCCTCACAGAACAATATAATTATTGAAGGATTCTTTGGAGCCCACTTAAAACTCATCTGGTGTAAGCAAATTAAAATGACTTCAAATACGTGCTCTCCAAACATCTTATCTAAATTCATGAATCCCCTATTATTCACGTCAATCTCTCGTGACAGACTAGCGAATGGAACGTATTAATAAAGAATTACATAATTAAATTCTGGTAATAAATACAATAATTTTGAGTTTGGTTGATTGAATTGGCTACACAGTTGATGACGATGATGAAATATAATTCATTAACTAACTTCCTTCATATAACCTAACTAAATAACACAATTGTTAACGAAATAAATCATGTTAATCAGGAATGTATCTAGGAAGAATGTATTTCAATTATTTATAATTGAGCAAACAAACTATGAATGTAAAATGAACAGATGCGAAGCGGAGAGACGCTACCTCTCTATCAAAAATATTACTTTTTATAAGCGTTTATATAAACCTAAAAAGACTATGAATCAGTAAGGAGATGAATTACTGATAACTGTACAGACATGTGCTCAAGTCAAGTGTGCATAAATATATTTGACAAGGACACAAACAAGAGGAAAAATAGTAAATACTTGGTGTCTGCATTTTTAATATCTACCCAAAAGTTCGGATACATTTACGCAAGCTTTATGTAGTCACTACAATACAATATGATTTTCAGCCACATCAGTCGTCTTCAATCACTGATTATTATAGTCACACAAACAATCAATACATAGTCTACACCTAACCACATGTCTCTTATGGTTTTTTATATTTAACTCGATGGTCAAAGTCGAATAAATCCAGTAGGTTACTGAATTAGCTAACATGCACAGTAATAACAAACAATGAAGTGTAATAGGACTGAATGGAAACGAATGGGCTGAAATAATAGTACTGGATTAATACCAGTACTAGACATCCTTGTAAGTGATATGGAAAGAAAAGTCAGTTTTCGATTGATTTACTCATTATGAGTTTTGTTCAAGATTACTTCCGTTTTGACTCAATGTAGTATTTATTTTCTCTTCACGTATGATATTTTATTCTGTGTAATATGCGATATTCTTGTATTCCATTGACATGAACTATGCTCAGTCTGTGATTTGTTATAACTCTAAGTATTTTCCATATATGTGATTTCATCCTAATTATTAATCAAAATGGGTGTACAATCAATATATCAATGAATGTGTTTCCTACTATTGTCGTCGTCATAGTGTTCTGGGTTAATAAGTCATCACTTATAACAGTCTTTGTGTTCTTACTTTCACGTCGTGGGAATTGCAGAGGTCCCTCGTTTTGAGTATAAATGATAAGAGTTTCCGACACAACAATCAGCGATGACCAGATACAAAAAATAGCATTAAAAGAGCCAAGACAATAAGCATTCAAACGACAAATTATAACAGTAAGGTAATTGGGTTTATAACAACAATGAAAGTAGAATCGGCATTAATTGTATCATGATGAAATACATCGGGGATTGGATTAGACAGGTCTAATCTGTATAGTACTTAAATGAGTCTTAAAAATGTCCAGTATACTTTAGTCAATGTGTGTCAAATATTTACAGGTCAGCATTATCATGGAATATGATTAACAAATAGATAGACAAACAACCAAAGTATGCAATAGGATATATATATTAATAGCACAAATTAAACAATGAAATAGAATTAGTGCATTTGAGTTACATGTTATCAGGTCCTGTATTCTGGAATGCGTATCTAGTTATGCAAATTCAACACGATTATAATGAATACCATAACTGTTCAGTTAGACTGACAGTAACTTCATAGACTGGTGCCACTTCCTGGTTTGGCTGTCCGCAGATTTCTCCCAGACTACTTTCCCATCAAACATCGTGAACCGAAGTAGGTGGTGATTGGGGGTACGTACCACTACTTCGTCAACCTATTTGACATCTTTACCTTGTACCCTATGCTTGAATTCGGCATGGCTCACTTGATGGCCCCAAAATACACGAGCAACAGTTAAAAGATACCTGTGGTTGAGTGCTAGTTAACCTATGAATATCTTATATATATAATCAATGAGCATTACAAGGAAGTATAAATTATCATTTGATTGTAAGTCCAGTTTTCTTAGGGATTTCTGACATAACTTTGTTTGATAAAGTACATAGACGATGGATAGAGATGAAAAGATATTTTGGAACAAGCAGTGAGGTTATATAGCTAAGTAAAAGTTACCAACCACCACTGTCCTACCACTAATCAGTATCGCTGTACAATCACAAAAATACTTAAGAACGGATTCATCAGTTTGTTCTGCATTTATATGATCACCCTCAATAATGTTTGCCTTTCGATGCTTTACAAAAATTATCACTAAAAGACTAGTGCAAATCACAGTTAATCAGGTTAATGCCTTATTTGCAGAATTTAAATTCAGCTTCTATAGTGAATCGCATCATGCAATCTAAATAAAGCAGAGTATAATTATTAGTTTGCATCATCTGATTTCAGGACAAAGTAAAAGGTGCAACTTGATGTTGGATAAATTGAATACATAAAGGAATCCTTCATGAAGACTTAACTAAAAAAAACAATGACGTTATTCTTACATCGTTTGAAATATATCAAAATATTTGCTAAATTGTAGCACAATCACACTTTATGGCAAGGACTTTAAATCAAAGATTAGATTCCTTCTGAAAACATTAGGTTACAGATTTTTGCAAACATAAGAAATGACTATTATCCAAGAGTTGTATATATTACAAAAGGGATAAGACGAAATGAAAACAAAGTTATTCAAGGAACGAGTAAACTTCTATGTGACTTAGCAATCAAGCGTTTAGTTCCGTACACTAAGCATCGATTTAAATTTTTATGAGCTAAAAAGTACAAGTTAAGCCAGCTAAAATAAAATGAAATTGACGGTAAAATTTCTCATTGCTAGTCGAAATAACTATAAGTACAATGACAATTAAACGAGTGACATATCTGCCTACCATTTTAAGAATTTGATCAAATTAACGGGAGCTGTAAGACGAAAGGTTTGAAAACTTACTAGCTTAGTTCCTACATTAGAGATAGAGTCAATGCCATGTTCATGCTATCACGACTAGTTGTTTAAATGAGTATCAGGTCGGAGTATTAAAGACAACTTTCCATGAGCAACATAATTAAAGTTTTCATTTCCTTGGTGTTTGACAAAAATGTCAAATTTCGAAAAAAAAGGCTGGTATTTTTTCCAGATTGTGAACTAACATCGCTAAGTGCTGTAATTAGCGATCTTCTTTGGAAATGCCCGATTACATTTAAAAGTAATCACCGAGATATAAACCAAATAATTATCTTCAATGAACTCAAACAATTCAGTGATATTACTTTAGGACAGTTGGTAGACAATAGATAATGAAATGACAAAAATACATACTTTTCACTAATTTAGAACATTTTCTTTAATAAAGCGAATGACTCAAGAACCATTATTCACCAAAAACAAAAATGGTTCATTATAAACACATAAAGTAATATAGGAGCAATAAATAACAAACAGAAACATTTTAGTAAGTACGAACACAGAATAAAAGATTTTTTTGTGCAATAACCAACTAATGTTTAAAATATTATTCTTGATATATGTAATATGAAATATAATATCTGGACATACTTATTATCAAAAGACCAAATGTAAAAATATTATCACTTTACAGCCTGATTCAAAATAACCTAAATAATGATACCACAACGAAACAATCGGAACGCAGAGAACGGAAGATTAAAATGCAAGAAAAACCACATAATAAACAAAGCGTTATAAATCTAAAATCACTTTAGTGAACCGCTTACAGAAGAAGGGGAACTATTTTGTTTATTATTTTGGTCAGTCATCGCTTTCATGACGGGCGCGAATGGTTGAGCTAAAAATGCTGACGGGAAACTCATTTGCACTGGAGGAAATCCTGGCAAAAGAGGCCTTGTTGGTGTTGGTATGACATCTCTTTGAAGTCCACCTGAAAAAGGCATTGTTCCTCGGGGTGGTGTTGGAATGAATGGGAATGGATTAGCTTCTGCTACTGGCCGTTGCGATGTTAAATTTGTTAGAGAATTTCTTGATTGAGAGCGTACATCTCTTAAGCTTGGATTTTTCATAAATTCTAGTGGTAAAATAGGTCTTGTGAAAATGTTCATAATTTTGTCACGAGATGAACTATTTATTTTTTCCGGGATGGTGCGCATTGTCGATCGTAATGCATTGTTCTCTGATTCAATGAGCTTTTGTCGCAAACTGAAGTTTTCTTCACGTAGATCTTGAATTTGGTGGTCAGATGCACGAGCTGCTAACCAATTTTCATGAGAACGCTTATCTAACTCCGATATTTGACGCCTACTAGTTCTTTCAGTTTCCACTAGCTCTCGACGTAAAGCTGCCATTTGATCTCGTAATACTTTAACTTCCCCCTCAAGCTCTTGATTACGCTTTCGACTGTGCATAAGGGCTTCGGAAGATTCTGAACCAACTACGACATGCTTACCTAAATCCCTTTGCAGTTCAAGTTCACGTTCTTTAAAATAACAGGATAAAATATCAAGCTTTGTTTGATAAGCATTTCTTTCTTGTTCAATATGAATTAAATTAGCTTTAAGAGTTGAATTTTCTCTTTCTACCTCTTCCATTTTGGATTCAACTTCAACTCGAAGATCATGTTCATTTTTTGCTTTAGACTCTTCAGCTTTAATTTGTTCATCTTTAAGTCTGATTTGAGCATGCAAACGACCAACATCTAAGAGCAATGATAAATTCTTCTGTAATCTAGATTTTTCTGTAGTCTTTTCATCGACTTCATTTAAATCACATAAAGCACTTTCGGAAATAATGCTTGACTTATCGCTAATCTCCACGTCATCCTCTAACGTGCGACTAACATTAGATAGATTGTCAGTGGTGGTTACTTCACGTTCTTCCATATCATTTGTTTCCTGTTTTGAGGAAGATTCTTGTTCAAAAATCACCTCAAGACCTTTAAGCGTATTGAAAGTAGCAAGCAAACTTTGAAATTCTGCTTCTTTAATCAGTAACTTTTCCTCAGATGCTTTTCTAGATTCTAAAATTTTGTCGACCTCTGATTGCATCGTCTTCATGCGATTATAATATAAATTAGCTTGAGAATATAACTGTTCTTGTTCCTCTTTCAATTCGTCTATTGACTTACGGTTACTTTCTTCTAGATCTAAAAGACTTTTCTTCCATTTATCATCATTTTCAGAGTGTAATTGTTTCAGACGATTAATTTCTGAGTTTAATTCATGAATGACTTCTTCTTTATCAGTTAACTTCAAACGTAAGTTTTGTTCCAGTGAATTATGAGTATTTTTTAAATGATTCAACTCCGATTGAGCACGTATGAAAGATTCCCGTGATTCATCCATAGATAATGTCATTTCAGATAATTTGGAAGTATATTCTTCCTGTAGATTTTGAAGACTGTATGAAAGTGAATTAGCCCATTTAGATAAATGAGAATTAAATTCTTCCGTATCTGAAAGTTGGCTAGCTAGTTGAATGCTATACTCCTCAAGTTTTAGATATTCTACGAGAGATGGAGATGTGTATTTTTCAACAAAAATGTATTTATACAGAAGGAAATGTACACCTTTACTAAGATTCCACATAAAAATTAAGTGAAATATAAAAATCATCCAAGCAATAATGAAATTTACTGATAAAGAAAATGTTTCAAGCAAAAAATTATCTAAATTGGAAATAATGTTTTCTGGTAAATACTGCAGAGAAACGTTAGCAGCTGCAAAGAAGTACCTAAATCCATTGACTAAGAAGAGCGAAAAAGGTGATCTAACAGTTTTAGAATACGTTTTATCAAAACTAGCGTTTGCTGCCCAGTATATACATTGTATCAAACCTAAGTGAACTGGAACACTGTGATGATCGAAAATAATTTGATCCTCAGACATTTTTCGTGAAACGGATGAAAGAGTAGAGCTATTTACATCTGAAGAATAAATTATTCCAATATCTTGAACACCGATGAGATCACTGGTGATGACTCCTTGTTTACGATCATGCAATGAAAAATGTGAATTTGACATATTAGATTCTATATGACTATCATTGTTCAAAAAGTTGCTTGACGAGGTGGAATAAAAAATTTGTGAAACATCAACATTTGACTCCTTGTCAGTATCGGATGAGACAGTCGGTGGTCGTATTGGTACATGACTTTCCACATGTTCGGTTTCAGACACCTTCATTTCAGCGTGATGTGACTGAACAGATGACGGTTGTTGATTCACAGAAACAGGTTCACCCTGCTCAGATCTACTCGAAACATCCACCTTCGACTCCTTATCAGTATCGGATGAGACAGTCGGTGGTCGTATTGGTACATGACTTTCCACATGTTCGGTTTCAGACACCTTCATTTCAGCGTGATGTGACTGAACAGATGACGGTTGTTGATTCACAGAAACAGGTTCACCCTGCTCAGATCTACTCGAAACATCCACCTTCGACTCCTTATCAGTATCGGATGAGACAGTCGGTGGTCGTATTGGTACATGACTTTCCACATGTTCGGTTTCAGACACCTTCATTTCAGCGTGATGTGACTGAACAGATGACGGTTGTTGATTCACAGAAACAGGTTCACCCTGCTCAGATCTACTCGAAACATCCACCTTCGACTCCTTATCAGTATCGGATGAGACAGTCGGTGGTCGTATTTGTACATGACTTTCCACATGTTCGGTTTCAGACACCTTCATTTCAGCGTGATGTGACTGAACAGATGACGGTTGTTGATTCACAGAAACAGGTTCACCCTGCTCAGATCTACTCGAAACATCCACCTTCGACTCCTTATCAGTATCGGATGAGACAGTCGGTGGTCGTATTGGTACATGACTTTCCACATGTTCGGTTTCAGACACCTTCATTTCAGCGTGATGTGACTGAACAGATGACGGTTGTTGATTCACAGAAACAGGTTCACCCTGCTCAGATCTACTCGAAACATCCACCTTCGACTCTTTATCAGTATCGGATGAGACAGTCGGTGGTCGTATTGGTACATGACTTTCCACATGTTCGGTTTCAGACACCTTCATTTCAGCGTGATGTGACTGAACAGATGACGGTTGTTGATTCACAGAAACAGGTTCACCCTGCTCAGATCTACTCGAAACATCCACCTTCGACTCCTTATCAGTATCGGATGAGACAGTCGGTGGTCGTATTGGTACATGACTTTCCACATGTTCGGTTTCAGACACCTTCATTTCAGCGTGATGTGACTGAACAGATGACGGTTGTTGATTCACAGAAACAGGTTCACCCTGCTCAGATCTACTCGAAACATCCACCTTCGACTCTTTATCAGTATCGGATGAGACAGTCGGTGGTCGTATTTGTACATGACTTTCCACATGTTCGGTTTCAGACACCTTCATTTCAGCGTGATGTGACTGAACAGATGACGGTTGTTGATTCACAGAAACAGGTTCACCCTGCTCAGATCTACTCGAAACATCCACCTTCGACTCCTTATCAGTATCGGATGAGACAGTCGGTGGTCGTATTGGTACATGACTTTCCACATGTTCGGTTTCAGACACCTTCATTTCAGCGTGATGTGACTGAACAGATGACGGTTGTTGATTCACAGAAACAGGTTCACCCTGCTCAGATCTACTCGAAACATCCACCTTCGACTCTTTATCAGTATCGGATGAGACAGTCGGTGGTCGTATTTGTACATGACTTTCCACATGTTCGGTTTCAGACACCTTCATTTCAGCGTGATGTGACTGAACAGATGATGGTTGTTGATTCACAGAAGCCGGTTCTCCGGGTGATTCGGATGGATAGTCAGCGGTATCCGTGTCACCATGTTTTATTTCAGATGAATTGTTATAGTCAAACTCATTGTCGTCATTATCTTCCTCAATTTTTTCATCTTGTTCCACTTCATCAGAATCTATCTTGTATGTAGTTTCTTGTTTGCTCACTTGATCATAACTTCTGCGACTAACCACGTCCATCTCATCAATTTCATTCGTCCCTTCTTTAGTATCATAAGCATTACTCTGTCTTTGATTGCGGAAAAGTGTTTGCTTGTTATCTGGATGAACTTTCTCAGATATTTTCTTTGTAGATTTGTAATTCAAATCTTCATCCGATGGTAGTTGGTAAGGTGACATTAGATTAAGTGTTCTTTCATCTAATAGAGTCGAAGGATTCAAATTTATATCGAAGTTTTTCACCTTTAAAAATTTGCGTGAATTAACTGAATCCTTAATTTGTACAAAACTTGGGTCGATGTATAAATGTTCTTCGCCGAATTTTATTTTCATCATAGAATTAGTAGCATCAGCGCTTAATCCTATTATGTCCACTAAGGTATTCACTTTTAATGTTTTCTTATTCGGTACATTAACATCTTTGATAAGACTTCCAGTAGTTATGGTTTTCAAACAATTTATGTCTGAACACAGAAGTTCAGCTGGTAAATGTTGTTTAAACATTGCTTCACTGTGACAGAGTAACGCCCCAAATCCAATGAGTAAGAAAACCAAGTAGATTTTCATCCTAAAAGCCGGAAAACACTTATTAATAAAAAAAGAAGGTGACATTTGAAAATGGAAAACACCATGACATACTACATATAATAGATTAAACCACAGTTTACTAAGCTAGTCAACTGTTGACGTGACGGGAAAGAATTAGGCCTAAAAATCAGGTCTTAATTGGTTGCAAAATGAGTGATTTACAAACTGATTTTCTCCAACCGCATATGATAACACTTTTGTTTGTGCGATTATGTTGTATATAAGCATGTCATTTTATTATATGAAAAATCTATTCTTCTGGCTAATGGTCATGCTTTTTATTTCAAATTATACAAAAGCTTAAGCCAATAATGTGGTCTCGTGAATAACCACCAATCGACCATACTTTGTATCACTGCATTTCATTTATTGATCAGGATTCTGATCAATGACTTTGATAAACAAAAGATCGTCTATCAAACCAGTAAAATCCTTCTCCATAACAGCTGTGTTAAATTAAGCGTCCGAATTCCGGTTCTAATGAATCCCAATTTCAGTCCAATGGCTAATTTGGCAACATATAGGGTATCCGAAGTTCGATTTTAATATTTTTTCTACATAGTGACTTTGCAGCAAAGTTCTTTCTTAAGAGGTCGAGTTGTAAGACATAATACCCCAACCTAGCATCTTTACTCAGGCTTAGGACTAGCAACATCAGCAAATCGGGCCTCATGTTGGTTTCATAACTATAAAAACAGATTAGAGTATAAATAACCCCTATTGAAAACCAAGTATTACAATTTACAAAAATGAAGGACCATAAATACCAAACAACACTCACACTGAAATATACCGAATCTGTTAACAATAAGCAGTGAAATGAGCACTTAAAAAACACAATAGTCAAAACATTCATAACACAAATAGCACCAAAAATCTTTGGTTGATTGTCTGTAGTCCCTAAATACCTACAACAAGCAATAACAACCAATTTTAATACAAGAATGTTCACAAACACAGATGATATTTTGATGAGAATATTTTTTCGTATGAACCTGTAATATTACCACTATTAAGGTTGATTTGAAATTATAACGAGTTTAAGCAAGATACAATAAAATTATCTAAAAGGTAGTGGAGAACGTACGAAGATAATTTTGGGAGAGAGTAACCAAAACAGACATAACTTAGTGTCAGCCTTTTAGGGCAGTGATAATTGAAAATCGGAGTCGAGCAACTTTTTATTATTTTGAGGGGAGTTAAGTAACCAACCTAACGTAGGTGGGTAAAATTAAAACGATGTAGAAAACGAAGGGATCTAAGTAAAAAAAATATCTGTTCCTTGGTGAGCCTAGTCGCCAATCCATCATCCAATGGGCAATAAAACAATAATAAACACTTGAATATAAGGAAAAATTGTTTTGTCACAAGTTGGTTAAACATTTTGAATACTGATAGGCTCCCCAGGGGAAATCACTAAGTTATAAAAAAAGAATAGCTATTGTACGTATCAATAAATTGAAAGACCTTGAGTCAAATATTACCTGTACAAAAAGCCCTTGATTTACACCATAAGTTAAACCACCGGTGCTTCAAAACTGTTCCAAAGTTAAAAGGAATGTCTTCAAAGTTAAGGACAGGAGGTTAATCCTCGTGACTTCCAGTACTGTGAAGACCCAATCTCTTGAGATGTATGAACAGATGCTGATACTACGTATTCGGGCAGACAATTACAGTGATTTACAACTCAGTGAACGAAACGGAATTCCAGATGTGACCGGTTTGATCTCGCTTTTTGATCCTTCTGAAAGTCTTCTCAGATGATCAGTTCTATGTTGGATAAAAAGATAAGATATTGATAAAAAAAATCATCATTCATTGCACGGGAAACGAAACTAGGATAGAGCACTTCAGTTTATCTTTACAAGGAAGGCTAGAATAACCTTTCGAGATTTATGTTTTAAGTTGTTGAACCCTTTCAATTATATCTAGTTTGTATATGAAACAAGATTTTGTTTCACGAATCGCATGTTCTAGATGCGATCCCATATACGCCAAACATGATATTCTGAACACTTCATCTGAACTGCAAAATGACTTACAATTGACTCAAGACTGGTAAGCCTTCGGAGGAGGCCACCTCATAATTACCGGGCAATCTACAGCCATTACTATGACTCTTACATCATCATGACCAATAACTTTAAATAAAGCAATCTAATTTACTGTGAAGTCATGTAAATTCTAGCGGACTGACTTGTATTACCACACTCTTGCTAAAACTTACTCCTAACCCCCCCCATCCATATATTTCCATGATGATAAAATACTGTTTACCTTTACTTGTTGTTTCTTATTACTGAGGAAGTCAATTATCCAATCTCTAACTTCATAACTGATTCTGAAATCCTCTAGCCTACGAAAACTACATCTAGTGAGATACTACAGAATTTTGCTGCAGTTCACTCTTTCTTCCAATAACAGCATTAGCCAAACGAACCAATTCTTTCTGCCTGTACTATATCCCTATATGCAATCTTTCTCTTATATATTACCACCTTTTACCTAACCACTGTTATGAATCTGGTGTTCATCTTGTTGTGTTGATGCGGTATGACAACCTGGACCGATGCACATATGTGCCTGGTCCTACGTTGTAGCTGACTGACTGACTGAAACATGAAAGATCTGCTCCACAACCATGTTATTTCTTGGTTAAACGATTATTCCCTTCTGAATGAAGTAGGACATCAGGTTGAATAATCAATTTTACCATGTTATTAATTAGGGTTATCGAGCAATAGCTACTAATCGAATGTTTATTTCTAGTTTTACAGTAAGTGAATACTAACTAATCAGATCCTGATTTCATTTATTTAAACACACAAACAATGGTACAAGGAGGCGTCGAATACATATGCGACACATTTTGTCACTCGACTTGTGTGAGGGCTGGAATACTGTCCGGGCATCCGGAACAAAACAAGTGGTTTTCTTAGGGAGCCAGTCCCCGAGCTTTTGACCTAGAGGTCTAATCCACAGGGCAGTAGAGCAACGTTAGAAGATACAATCCCATGGCAGCCGATGACCAACAATAGGTTCATACACCATTTGTTCCTTCAGAATCCTGGAGCCTATGTGCACTAGTTTTTTTGAAATCAGGGTTTTTCAACTCCCCTAATTTAATCACTTGTGTCCACCAACCCGGTTAAAACGCCGGATATTCGCTTTTCGTCCTCTCAATTTCGTAAGCAACACCCCCGCCGCGAAAAGGCTATGTTTGTATACACACGGCCATATGAGGGCATTTCGAGAGGGAGATCTGACTCACCACACTGTCGGACATACCAAGGTATTTGGGGGCATATCCCGATATCCCTTCCTATGTATGGGTTTATTGACCCCCTTAATTATTCATAGTGGATAGGTGTTAGATCCATGTAGTTTTAAGCATGGTATAAATGTAGGAGTAATTGAACTAAGTGTACCTGTAAGCATAAACCATAACTCAAATTGACGAGCTAGTAATAACCGACTATTCCACGACAGCACACTCCTTGATGGCCGAAATTTTTGCTCTCTACAGATTTGAGAGAGGACGAACCTGGTTGTAGATTGTCATAAGTTATGAACCCGAATGATTAAACATCATGACCTTAATTAACCAACGGTGGGAAAGTATCTAGACATGTAATATCCTCCGTTTCATGAGTGATTACTACATCCAACAAAGAAAAACCTTGGTTTGAACAAAAATGTGTGGGTTTGGATACATGCTGCACTACAGCATGCTCTATGACAGTCATATGGAGCCTGTCATCAAATATATTGTCAGATTTTACAGCGGATGCTTCTTTCAATTTATATTAAGTACACTGAAGTCTAATATCAGGCGCCGGTTATTTTTATTGTACAAATTCACGTGTTCTAAAATGAAATCATCGACTGAGCAGATTGGACTAATGTAGATAGCACCAAGTATAAACATACAACATTCGAAAGTTCACACCTAATGACTTTTTATGTCCTACTCTCATGAGACTCACAAACGAACGAACGTGTACGCATATTGTTCCAAATGTGTATAAAGACTATCCTCTTTTCGTTGTACCCGATAGCCTTGGAGTGATGTCAGAGTCATAAACTGTTATGAGTGGCTTTGATTTGTCCACTGACACCCACAACTCTTGGGATTTGTTTTCGAAACTACGAACATTGGTGTGTAAATGTCCCAAATGAGACGACCTATCATGAGAGATCATGGTAGTTTTCAATTACAATACCTGACTACTTGAAAACCACGGTCAAGGGTTTTCTTCGCTCTTCTTTTTTTAGTTCAGCTACAAGTCTTTCACTTGATCCCATTTCCATACGATAATTTAGATCTTGTGTGAATGCCAGAATAACCTTGCTTTAGAGCACCGGTTAACAAAATTTCTTTGCTTGCAACTATAATTATTTTAAGGAGTCTACACGGTATTCCCAATAATCATCTCGCCTGCTTTTACAGATTTGTCAACATGAGTTGTTGAAATATTCGACAGTTTGTTACGGACAAATATCCAGACCTCGTTTTAATCATCCCCATGCCTAACTTTAGAGTAAGAATATCCAATTGATAGAAATTTCTCATAATATTGGAACCAGTCTAATCATCGACACGCGAACTAGTGATAGGGAGTGAAGTAGTTGAGTGTGTCTAATAAGCCCTTGTGGTCTGGTGTGTGACGAAATCTCAGCACGGATACAGAAGGCTCGACTAGCTTTTGCCAACTTGCGTCATTTATGGCGTAGGCGAGATATCCGTCTATCAACCAAAGGACGGGTTTACTGCGCAGCAGTACGTCCCGTCCTACTTTATGGCAGGATATTCGTAGGCTACTAGTATTCGATCATAGGTGTCTTCGAAACATTGCTCGTATATCATGGAACCATCGAGTAAGTAACACAGTTGTTAGGAAATGGGTACTAGGTAAGGATGGCAAATCAATTGATGAAGTAGTGAAACTTCATCAGTTGAGATGGCTGGGACACGTGTTACGTATGCCCAACGACCGACTGCCTCAACGTGCGATGTTCAGTGGTATAAGAGTAGGTTGGAAGAAAGCTAGGGGCGGCCAGACCAAAACATGGCACAAGTCCATGAAGTCACTGACAAGTGGTCTGAGTCATGTTGATAGGTGTAGACTACCTGGTTGGGGACCGCGAGATGATAGCAACCGATGGTTAGAGACCCTGAATGACATGGCTCAAAATCGTTTGCAATGGCGCAGGTGCATCCACTCTGTGTTCTCCCAAATTCTAATCTTCTGAATTCTTCATGTCCCTTTTTTCCTCTTTCCAAATTTATTTCACTGAATTATACTCTTTAAATAACATCTCCAAACCCTAATCTTCCCGATCACTGCTTACACTCTTGCTACCTCTACCACTACGGGATTTGGATCGACAACTGCATCTCTGTGTTAAGGTGGTGTGGCAACTCGAACTGATGTACGTACGTACGTAGTTCTACGTTGTTACTGACTGACTGACTGAGTCCAATCATTCCTTTGCACTAAGTCTGTTCATAGTCGTACTATGGGGTTTCGTAAAGGCATTCCGCGATTCGCAATGAGAACTTTCCAAATACCTACCACCCAAAGGTGAAGCATTTGTGGAATTCGTCTCTCTATTCAGTTGCCACCATTCTGGTTTTCATTTTTTTTTACTTGGAACCTTCGTATCATGATGCTGGGGATATCAAACAACCAAACATAACATTTAAGATAGTCAACGTGAGATTTATTTGTTGATTTAAATTGAATTCTGTTCGTTGACTTTCAGTGGGCTGATATACAACAGAATTGACGTGGATTTTAATCGACCTTTGGTCGCTCGCAATAAATCTTTCTTACAATATTTTTTTCGAGAAGTTGGGGTTAGAAGAGAATAGGGTTATTGTATACGGTATCGACATTGTTGTTAGAGTTATTGCCGTTATCCCGTTCTATATGGCATAACTCTTTAAGTCACTGACGGTTATATTAGGGATTTTTTATAAAATGATTCGGGAGTCGACTTTACCTACAATGTCAGCCACCTTGTGACATTTCATCCTTTATCAAAGAATTTCCATGTTTAGTAGTCTGATTTTTTACTTCACTTCCTTCAGGTATAGTTATGATACTAGTGCAATTTTAGCTCTCTGTACCAGAATCTCCAGTAGTAATACGTTACCAAAGCCCCCAAAGCCTAATGGATACTCGATGTCGTACCGGAATGTGAAAATACACTGAACTAATGAGTTAGACTTCAAACATCGTTCATAATGCAATAGGTTTAAAACGGGTACGTGTCTTATGAAACCACTTGTTAAACCCATTATAGCAGTCCCCACATACTTCTGTTTAAGAAAATTTGTCCATTAAATGTCCTATTTTAATCTTATCATATGCCCTATGAACTTCCATGTACCTGTTATTTATAACCTTGTTAATCTTACTCATGTACGCTTTAATATGTAGTTGCTTAATTGTGTCACTTGTGCTCCAATTTCTTAACTGTAACTAACATATAAAAGGGACCAAATCACCCATTGTTTACTAAGTAGGCATATTATGCCTTCATCGTATTGCATTTCTTGTTTGTGTTAACAAATGTATGGTGTTTCTCACACACTCACCTTTTGCTTATTTTAATCCGTTATTTACTAATGAGATTAAGTCGATGAATATAAACGAAACCGATCAAGGAACCATCACTCAACATTCTGTATCGATATAATCTCCAGTCAGCAAACACAAAACCAACACACTCTACTCCCTGCTTAAAAAGTAGGCGATCTACTTCCCCATACCAACAACTAAAACTAAGCACTAAACAAGTCCACATAAAACATTTACACGTACGTGTAAAATTAGTACGAAATCTAGCATACTGATAGAAACGACTAAAATGCACGCAAAATACAAGCTCTCCGGAACAATAAAGTCATAACCGAAAGGCGAATCAAAAGACATGGAACTTAACCGGACTAATTTAAGTTAAAGTTGACTTGATACACCAGTGATGCTATGGTCGAACAAAAGTAAATTAGATTCATAACAAATTTAAAGATCACTACCCTGTTCACAAGCCCGGTGATGTGTGAACTTATTTCTCGAATTACCAAAAAAAAGTAACTCGGAGGATTAACAACACCAGTTACCATATAGAAGTACGACATGAGTGTTTATGTACCGTTTAAAGTCAATAAGCCTAGGGGGATTAACATTCCCGCGGACTTCAAGGTAGTGCAACGTCACACTGATCTTCTGTAGTAAAGATAGGTTTATCGACCTATATTAATCCTTGAAGTTTATAGCACTGTGAAGGTCTAATCTCGCTTTGTAAGTACCAACAGAAGATGGTGATATTACCTGTCCTAGTGGAGAATTTCAGTGATTCACTAGTTGCGGCGAGAAACGTGTTTCCTGACGTAAACGATTTGATTCAGGTTTTTGAACTTTCCTAAAACATCCTCTTTGATAATCAGTTATAAGTAGAAAAAATATATTACATACTACTACTAAGATAATCGTTCAATATATGGTACACTAGTATTAGATCACCCCGTAACCTGCGTTAAGATTACAGAAATAGTTTGAGGCGTCTTAGTCTGTCATAAGATAGGCCAGAGAAACCTTTAAGCACCTCAGTACTTCGTTATGGATCTCGTTATAGCATATCCGTCTCATGCTTGAAACGAAGACTTTGCTTGAAAGTTGGGCATAAAAGCATAAACATTTCTTCGTTCAGGTGATTAAATGACTTGCGAATAGACAATAAGACCCTAAAGCTTTTGGCAGCTGCAGCACTGCAGTTACACGCGGTTTTGAGATCGTTACTTATTGTGACTTTTAGATCTCTATAGCGTATCGCTTTACGTAGCATAACTCCAGATATTGTGTAGTGATGTGAATCGTTTCGCCATACTCTTGATAGCCTCAACTTCTAATTATCACCTGCACATCCGACAAGTGAATCCAGGTCACCCTATGATACTATCCTGTCTAATACGTTGTACATGGATCTCTGAATCTTTATGTTAACTGCAAAGAGTAGAACATATGACTTTGCTGTAGTTGGTAAGTCATTTACATGAAGTAAAAAGAAGAGGAATAAAAATTTTGTCTTGGTAAACTCTGCTTATTACAAATCCACGCATCCACCGACCCTCAGCTTCCAATAACTTTTGTCTCTTATTACTGAAAAAGTTACCCAGTTTAGAATTTTATAGCAGATCTCGTAACATTGGTTTTAACTCAAGACTCAGGTGAGAGACGTTGTCAAATGTATTACTGAGATCTATGAAGTTTATATCTACTAAAACATTTCTACTCTTTGCAGCAACCAAATCTCTTCTTGAAGTGAGTAAATTTTTCAATCACGTTAGGCCTTTTCTTGAAATCAAATTCTTACCCGGCTAAAAGATTGTGGACTCCCATATAGTTCGAAATAACCGTCTGAATAATCTTTCTGATTAGTTTGACAGCTACACAGTTTGGATTGACGAGTTGTTAATTAAAAATGTATTCTCTACTCCTCACTTTATAAACCGGATTGGTAGTCTAATCATTTTCGTTTCTTGACAGTTTAGACTGCCACAGAGACATTTAAAACCCTATTGCCAGGAGTTCGGCAATTACATCCTCCAAAGATTTCACAGTTTTGAAATAAATATCGTCAGGACTGCTAAACTTCTCTCCTTTGAGACTTTGAAATAATTTTAAGACAGCTTCTTCCTCAATAATCACAGAATCCATAAACAAGTCGACATCGTTAGAATTAATTTTTCGTCTCACACTGTTGTCGGTAGAAAACAATATGCTAAAATATTCTGGTAGAACTTCAGCTTTCAAAAAACCACTTCTTGGCAATGGCAATAAGATCCCACCAATTCTCTGATTTCGACTACTTATATACTGGAACAATTTTTCCGGACAACCTTTACAATCGCTCATCAACTGTTTTTCGTCTAGCCTTACAGACGCTTTGTAAGCGTCCTTACTCTTATGATAAATGGTACTGTTCAAAGCCCGTCAAGATAAATATACTCCGATACTTTTTTCTACGCTTAAGAAGTGTCTTAACATGCTTAGTCATCTATGGTGGACAGTTATTTGATCTATGTAATACTGAACATAGGGAAAACGGCGACTTAACTAAACTAACCGGCACCTTTATATACAGACCATTCCTTTATTATTGATGCACTAGTATTCATTGACCAACCCGTTGTTACGGCGCACTCCCGAATGGCTGGTTTACTTTCCCTTTACACATTTGGGCTTTATTTAGTCTGATCGTTTACAACGTAATATGGTCTAAACATGGATCATAATAATACGTGACCGCAATTTGCCAACAGTCAAAAAATATTTAAATTGGAAATATTCTTGGTTTTACAAGTGATTACTAAGTCTAACAGAGAACATCAATGGTTCAAACCAAAACGTGTGAGTTCGGACACATGCTGTAATAAGGCATACTTCACTACGGGCATCAGGAGCCTCATATCAGAAGTTTCCTGATTCCGCTGTGGCTATGTCTGTTCAAATAATATCATGCTCATTGAAATCTAATATAATGCATCTGCTATTTTTGTTTCACAACTGAATATGCTTCAGAATAAAGTCATCAGCTAAGGAGATCGAACTATGGTAGATGACATTTAGTACAGATCCACAGCATTCAAAAAAGAGTCTACGAGTTCCATTATTATGAAGTTTACAAACAAAGGAACAGGTGATTTTATTATTAGCAATGTATATAAAGACACAACTATTCCTGTATCTATTCCAGTCACTTCTAATGTAGTTGTATCTGGATAATTTCGGAGTAACGACAAAGTCATGGACTAACAAGTCCATAAGTTTAGTGATTGTAAACTACGAGCATTTTCACATGAAACTCTTAAAGTGAACAACCTATCCATACAGGCCTCGGTAGTATTCTCTTCCAAGACATGTTCTCTCAAAAACCCACTAAGCGGTGATTTTTTTCACAAGTTCATCTACGTGCTCCTAGTCTACATAACGCTGTCTCTCTTCTTACCCTATCTTCTAGAAATATTTCAGGACTTATTCAAACTTCGGTGCTATCGTAACTTTCAGTACCACTTAACAAAAGATTTCGACCTTAAGATTAATTTAAGAATTCTGTCTAGTCGAAGTTCAATATTTCTGTTGATTCTTTTATCAATTTTTGAACTGAACTCCTCTAGGGTTGTCTGATAAGCTAGTACGATCGAGTGCTTCAAATTTTATAAATCATGCCCGTGTCTAATTTTTGAATTTCAAACTGCTCACATTAACCTTTGTTGGGTTCAAGTTGTATGCAGCCACGCCGGGGTGAGGTCTTGTCTTACTTCAGAAATTTGGTGATATGTTCTATCACGCGGAATAGAAGTCTTCCAGGAACGTACCAAGTGGACGCACGCTATTAGTCGCTATTTTTTCTCTTCCTCGTTTCTGCACTATCCTCCATTTTCTGTAGGTCAGAACAGTCAAATTTAGACTAATTGACACAGTGACGGTTTTATCCGAGTTTTCAGGTACTACTGCAGAATCATGACCACCAACATCCGGTGTCATTTCATTCTTTATTTATTTCAAGAGAGCTTTTCCTTTCTCATGTTTCGCAGTTGTGTCCAAGTCGTCCTATGACAGCACATATTACACTGGTGCAATTTTCGTTGTCAGTACTCATGTTACCAATTCAGCTACCCTCAAATCTCCTGTTGGTCATATTTTCTAACCCACGCCTAACCCAAATACCTAAGGATTTCAACCGTAATATACTTAAGCTCGACTCACTCATTGAACATAGTTCCCGATGCCACATTTTACGACTAGAACACCTCTGGAAAGGAAGGTTCATGTTCAATTTGACTACCTACTTCAAACTCCACAAAAACCTTACTTATTTCAGACGTCATATAGTTCTTGTCCAAGACTCACATGAATACGAACTTCGAGATAAAGAATCAACCGTCAAAGTTGAGAAATACCAATCATAAATTCGAGAAAGCTTCTTCCTCATCAATTATGAATCAAAACGGAACAGTCTTCTCTCTGAAATACGCATGGCAGATGGACTACATACGTTTTTAAGACTTCTTGATCAAGCACTTGTAACAGCTCAAATTGGTTGGTTAAGAGTTGACCCCAAACAACCAAGCATATGCCGAAACAGTATTGTTCAAATATTCATTCACTTCCTTATTTTTTATATATTGAATGTTGAGAGCCTTTGTTTGTCTGAACAGATAATCCCACGCCCCACTGTGACTGCGCTAAGATCGAAATAAAGACCTATTCACTACTTGTCTGGTTTCTTCTATCAATAGCACGAGGGTTACCTGTAGGTATGAAACACTCACCTGCACTGATCTAGCACGAACGAACACATCTGCGTCCCACTCAGACATCATAAGCTCTCTACATGTAGAATCCAAACTGGACTCCAACTTCAGTTCACCTTATTTTCCTACGTTGCAGTTGTAGTAAATACATTTTCCTCCCTACTTCTTCATTTGAAGTAGACAGGTAACTCACTGGATATATCCATACTGCTCAAGTAAACTCGGTCGCTAAGGAACGCTCACTACTACCCAAAAAGTCAAGAGAACTGCACAATCGACTGCCTGCTACCAGTGGTCTTGCATTTACGGAGCCTGTTACTCATCAACCGGTTAGCATAGCACAAAATAACATCAGCACACAGTTAGTGTGAGTTCTTTCTTGTATATTTTTCATCAGCTTTTTACTCTCCTGTACACTATGTTGGCCTACCATTAATTTTAATTCCCCACTCGTCACCTTATCAATAACCCATATATTTCTATACCTTTCCGCCTTCTTCTGTTAACAAATATCCTACGTTACACTTTTTCTAATGCAAACACTCTGATTTAGAACATATACATTACACTATAAACAATTTAAGCACTGAATCAATACCCTACCCACACTCCATAATTTGTAACTGCCTGATGAGCTTGTCAAATAGTGTTTTTCAGCAGGACGTGAAACACATAGCATTGTGTGGGGTATGATATTCATCCAAATTAAGCTTAAATGAGCCTAATTTCACAAAAGGAGGGGGTGGAGTCACTGGCTAGCAAGCATTGATGGTGAGGACGATGACTCCAATCCACCCATGTTTGTG